CTGAAAATGGCAGATAAGGCTGGAAACCTTTTTCAATAGAGTATGTATCTGGCCATCCGTCCACACAGAACTTTTTCAGCTGTTGGAGTACACTGTCGCCATCCTGATGTCTCTGGATTTCCCTCAGTCGTGGTTCCGTGGCAGGTAAACATGCAACGACTGAGTCAACGTACAAGTTGACCTCCTCTTCTTACAGTCCTCCCAACTCGTTGAGGATTGGAGCTCTAGACAAGACATCAGCTGTAGCGATATTTTTGCCAGCCACATGGGAAATACTGTAAGAAAATCTCATTAGTCTCATTCGCAGTCGCTGTATGTGAGGAGGAAGCTCATTTAGACTCTTCGACCCCAGCAGCGGAACTAACGGCTTATGATCGGTTTCAATGTGGAACCTCTTCCCGATCAGAAACTCTGCGAACCTCTCACAGGCCCATGTTGAAGCGAGAGCCTCTTTCTCAATCTGAGCATACCTCTGCTCTGTCTCGCTGAGAGACCGTGATGCATATGCCACTGGCCTCCATCCTGTATCAGGGTGTTTCTGGAGAAGAACTGCACCGAGTCCATACGATGATGCATCTGCTGACACGCATGTCTCTGCATTCGGGTCATACAACGCTAGTCCTGGTGGTGTCGTCAGATCTGTTTTAATGGCGTCGAAAGCTCGTTGCTGTGGCAGACCCCATAACCACATGTTTGACTTCTTCAGAAGATCTCTCAACGGTCGGGTTTTCTCTGCCAGGTGTGGGAGGAACTTCCCAAGATGGTTCACCATACCCAGGAAGCGTCTCACCTCGCTTATATTTTTGGGCTCCTCCATGGCTCTTATAGCACTTACTTTATCAGGGTCTGGACTCACTCCTGATGCATCAATAATTTGTCCCAAGAACTTTATGCTGCGTTTAGAAACCTCACATTTGTCATTCAGTGTTACTTTTACTTCCTGGAGTCGAAACAGTGCCTTCCTCAGTCTTTCATCGTGCTCCTGCTGTGTCGTCCCCCAGATGAGGACATCATCCATCTGACAAAGGACTCCATCCAGGCCCTCTAGAATCCGTGTCATGCATTTCTGGAAGTGCTCTGGTGCTGATGAAATCCCAAAGCAGAGCCGATTGTAGCAATAGCGCCCAAAAGGTGTAATGAAGGTGGTGAGCAGGGAAGACTCCTTTGACAGTGGAACCTGCCAAAATCCAGCATTGGCATCCAATTTGGAGAACACTTTTGCTCCTGCTAGCTGTCCGAGCGTGTGCTCAACTGATGGCAGTGGGTGTTTTTCTCTCATGACATATTTATTCAGTTCTGTGAGATCAATGCATATCCTCACCTTGCCTGAGCTCTTAGGGACAACCACCATAGGTGCACACCAGTCTGTTGGCTCTTCCACTTTGGTGATGACCCCTTCCTGCTGCATACGGTTGAGCTCCTCTTTAACCTTCGGCAGTAGGGGGAGGGATATCCGCCTCAGCGTTGAGAGGGAGAAAGGCTGCGCATCAGGTGACAGAACAATGTTATACTCGCCCTCCATCAGTCCTAGTCCTCTGAAAAGTTTAGGAAACTCCTGCTTCACAGCATCAATGGTGTCCAAACTTATTTGGTTCACCCTGGCAACTAATTTTAATGCCATTGCAGCACGCCGGGTCTGGTGAGTGACCACAACGTTTGAGGTCGGGAAGTTCGGTCTGGCATTGCTCCATAGTAGCGTGAGTATGATCGCCCACTCTCTGGCGATCCAATCAAATTGTCAGGTCGAGCTTTATACGATGATGGACAGATGATCAACAGTAACGTAACCAACCACGTGACCAAAGCGCCCATAGGTGACAACAACAATGGCTGCCGCTGGAGAGTTTAGGTGAGTAGATTCTGCTATTAGGTCTGTTCTAGAAGATATCGACAGCAAATTAATTTTAAAAGAGGTTCCCCCTTTCTGCAGCTCTGCTCCACTCCAGAATAGGTACTGACCTGAACACTCTCAACCTGCAAAATACCTGGACCTCCACTAATCTCTCTGTCCTCCTCAGCAGTGAACCCACTCGTGACCAGTAGAGCCCCCTCTTGGATCTGATCAAACTGTGCACATTTATTGAACCCCCTCGTGACCAGTCAAGTCCCCACTTGGATCGGATCAAATTTTGTACATTTATTGTAAATAAATCTTTGAACTTTTCTTCTGCCTCCGAGTGTTCTGCATGTGGGTTAGACACATTAATCCGAACATGACAAGTCAGTGATGCATTTAAAAACATGGAGTAATGGAAAACTACTCACACATATAGAGCACTGCTGTGACCAACGTAACTGTGTAGGTGTGCCACATTCTTTTGGAAATGCGGCCAGTTAAAAGTGAAAAGGATGAAAGACACGGAAGGCATGAAATAAAAAAAAAATCCTAAAGAAATAAATAAAAAATACTTAAAAACAAAAGATATGCCAAACACTTTCAAACTGTTGCTGAGAAGTAAACTTTACAAACAATAAGGCAACAGTAAAAACTCATTCAGTGATGATTCCTTTTATTAAGTTAAAACAGGACACAAAAAATACACTGAGATATGAGAAAAACATTTTATACAAAGGTAAATTTAATTCTACCAAACTGTAAGTCTAAGTCTGTAAAAAAAAATATATTTAAAAAAAATTAGAAAGAGTTCAGTCCTCTATAAGGTTCTATTTGTGTCAAAAATAAGCAGATGTAAAATGTCTAGATGTTGTGCTGTTGTTGCATATGTGTTATCTGCATATGTCTAAGTTGCACATGTATTTGTTGCATATGTAGATACTGCATATGTAGATGCTGCATATGTCTATAATGCATATGTCTATGTTGCATACGTAGATGCTGCATATGTCTATGCTGCATAGGTAGATGCTGCATATGTAGATTCTGCATATGTCTATGTTGCATATGTAGATGCTGCATATGTCGATTCTGCATATGTCTATGCTGCATATGTAGATGCTGCATATGTAGATTCTGCATATGTCTATGTTGCATATGTAGATGCTGCATATGTAGATGCTGCATATGTAGATGCTGCATATGTAGATTCTGCATATGTAGATGCTGCATCTGTCTATGCTGCATATGTAGATGCTGCATATTTCTATGCTGCATATGTAGATGCTGCATATGTCCATAATGCATATGTCTATGTTGCACATGTAGAGGCTGCAATAGATGCTGCATATGTCTATAATGCATGTAGATGCTGCATATGTCTATGCTGCATATGTCTATGCTGCATATGTCTATGCTGCATATGTCTATAATGCATATGTAGACGCTGCATCGGTTAATACCTTTGCTCTCAGCCGTTGGTCCATGTCTTTGGTCCTTGTCGTTGGTCTTTGATGCCTGTTCTCCTTTGCCATTACAAAAAATGGAAGTAGATTTTTTTGTGTGCTTATTAGAAATTACTGAAAGGTTGTCCTTTCATTATCGATAGCTCCAAAATGTTTAGATTTCGGCGAATCTTTTTTAATCTTATTTACTTCAGGCTTTAGGCTTAAAACTTTAAAATAACCCCAAGGGACCCTGCATCTATCCTGTGAATAAATGTGTGTTCACATTGGCAGAATTCAAAGTGCTTTACTTTATAGGGTATCTAGTGTCTGGATCACCGGGGTTTTCAATCGCGGCTCATCCAACCGAACACTTGTTCCGACACTAGGGGGCGTAATAGGCCAATGGACGCTGATAATACATATCCTTGGAGGACATTTAAAATGATCAAAATGCCACCCATAATTCATAAAAAGGGTTAACTCAAATAATAGGCCTCAATAATATTGTGATACTTTAAGATGCTTATTGCCCACCCCGTTAGGGGAAACAATAAATGAAAGAGTGATTCGAGTAGAAATCATGGTTAAACAGATAATTATGCACAGAGCTGGAATAAATTCACCAAAACTTCCATTCAATATATAAGAGTTTATTAAGAAAAATCATCAAGGATATGTATTAGCGTCCATTGGCCTATTATGCCCCCTAGTGTCGGAAAAATTGTTCGGTTGGATGAGCGGCGATTGAAAACCCTGGTGATCCAGACACTAGATACCATCTAAAGCACTTTCAGTTCTGCCAATGTGAGCACACATTTATTCACAGGACAGAGGCGGGGTCCCTTGGGGTTATTTTAAAGTTTTAAGCTTATAAATTTACCTATCTCTTGCATCAACTACATATGCAGAATCGACATATGCAGCATCTACATATGCAGCATCTACATATGCAACATAGACATATGCAGCATCTACATATGCAGCATCTACATATGCAACATAGACATATGCAGCATCTACATATGCAGCATCTACATATGCAACATAGACATATGCAGCATCTACATATGCAGCATCTACATATGCAACATAGACATATGCAGAATCTACATATGCAGCATCTACATATGCAGCATCTACATATGCAACATAGACATATGCAGAATCGACATATGCAGCATCTACATATGCAGCATCTACATATGCAACATAGACATATGCAGCATCTACATATGCAGCATCTACATATGCAACATAGACATATGCAGAATCGACATATGCAGCATCTAGATATGCAGCATCTACATATGCAACATAGACATATGCAGCATCTACATATGCAGCATCTACATATGCAACATAGACATATGCAGAATCTACATATGCAGCATCTACATATGCAACATAGACATATGCAGAATCTACATATGCAGCATCTACATATGCAACATAGACATATGCAGAATCTACATATGCAGCATCTACATATGCAACATAGACATATGCAGAATCTACATATGCAGCATCTACATATGCAACATAGACATATGCTGAATCTAAATATGCAGCATCTACGTATGCAACATAGACATATGCATTATAGACATATGCAGCATCTATGTATGCGACATATGCAGAATCTACATATGCAACAAATACATGTGCAACTGAGACATATGCAGAAAACACATATGCAACAACAGCACAACATCTAGACATTTTACATCTGCTTATTTTTGACACAAATGGAAAAAAAATAAAATAACCTCTATAAAAGTAGAGACTGGAGACTTAAAATCAGGCCAGCTTGCAGCTTTGCTAGGGCCCGGGACAACAGTCTTCTGCCATTTTTCTGCTCTTTTGGGGCTAAGCTCAAGCTCAAGGATTTCTGTTAAAGAAAAGGTGTTTTTCCTCCCACACACTAGCTAGTGGATGCTAAACTTTAAAATCACATTGATATACGTATTGCTTCTTTCTTGGCTCTGAATGGGCATCATTCTTCTGCATTTCTGTTCCTGTACCTATTCCTGACTCGTCCATCCGGTTCCTTTTTTAATTTAAGCATAAAATCCCTCAAGCCTTTGGTGTCAATTCTCACTTTTTCTCTTTTTTTCTGTGCATTGGACTCCTGAAAACCTGACATTTTTAATTTTCAGCGAAACAACTTTAAAAGTTGCAGCCCACCGTTGTCCTGGTCAAACCATATTATGTTGGGTGGGGGGAGTTCTAACGGCCCCTTATTTAAAGATAACATATTACATATACCTAATGCAGATATATATGAATATTTATTTACTGTAATAATAAATATTTTCATAAGAATGTTTTCTGAAAAATTACCTCTGCCTGTATTTCAAATGGTCAAAGTGTCAATTTTGGGCCCCCCTCTGTCCTGGGACAATTGACCTATTTGTCCTCCCCTGTTAGCGGTCATGCTTAAAATATCTAAGAGATACGGAATCGCCATGAGACAATTAAATCACAAACCTATGGATGGATGGATGGATGGATGGATGGATGGATGGATGATACGAATAACCAGCAGTCTATTGGCAAAGCCAGGGTACACCCTTGACAGGTCACCAGTCCATCGCAGGGCAACACATAGGCATACAACTATGCACGAACACACTCAGACCTAAGGCCAATTTAGAGTCACAGTTTGACCTAATATTCATGTTGTTGGACTGTCGGGTCAGGTCTGAGTATGCCTAGGGAATCCATGCATACATTGGGAAAACAGGCAAACTCTGTGCAAAAACACCCTATGCCATGAGTTAATCCGGGACCTTCCTGCTGCAAGGTAACATACTTACATTTTTCAAATTTCCAGTCAAATGCTGGTTCCAGAGCTTTAGAGCCACAACAGAAACCGCTAGACTACCATTCGATTTGAGATTTAGGAACCACCAATAGCATCTAGTCAGCTTACATGAGGGAATAAGATGGGGATTAGTGTACAGCAGAGTGAAGAATTTTACACGTGTAAGGTCTATAAGGAACTTAAAAGAAATTAAAAAAAAAAATCCTTAATTAATCCCAAAATAGATAGGAGCCAGTGGAATGAGGTCATCACCTCAGTGATGTGTCATTGCTTATTTTTTCTTGTTAAAGTTCCATTGCTGCATTTTGAGCAAGATAAAGAGGGAATAGAGTGATTGGGCCTGTTAAGAGACTTACAATAATCCAGCTGGGATTTTTTAAAGATATTGGAATGTCATTTTGCTTTGTAGCCCTGCTGTCTTGTAGCAAGAAGGTTCAAGGTTCAATTCCTGGCCCAGGGTCTTTCTGCATGTTCTACCTGTGCATGCATGGATTCTGTCCAGGCACTTCCACTTGCTTCCACAGTCTAAAACCGGACAGTTCGGTTAATTGGCTTCTATAAGTTGCCCTTAGGTGTGTGGGTTTACCCTGACGGAATAAGTAGATGATGGACAGAAATTTATTTTTAAAAACATACCATACTGAAAATTACCAAATGCACCTTGGTGTAGGTACACGGCTTTGTTAATAGGTATGATATAATACAAAGGGGCAATAGTGGCACAACTTAGAAAATGGACAAATTGATCCAGAACCAGTTCTTATAGATCTGTAACACAATCAAACACCTTAATTCAATGAAATCACTCACCTCACCCCTGTTCCTCTTCCATAACATTGCTTAGGATGGTTACATGAACATGTACTAAGGACAAGACAATAAACATGTGTTGCAAAGAATTTTCCTTCCAAATTAAGTTGAGCTTTTGTAAAATCTACTTAAAGTTTTCAGTAAGTTTAAGCAAAGTTGTGACGAGTTCATCTTCTATGTTGGTATCCCGGCTATTGCATTCATTTAACTTTTTTCGATACTGTCATACAAATAAAAAAAGAACTGTCATGTAATACATTTGTTCTCTGACTCATCACTTAGATCTAAAGAAATGAACAGAGAAAGGTGTTTTTGTCAAAGAATTGATTACAGCATCAGTGTTTTACTATGTTCATATGTTCTTGTTATGACTTAATATGTTTTACTTGCTCCCTTTATCTGGGGGATTAGCAGGGCCCAAGCAAACCCTTTTGGCTTTCCTAACCTGTACAGATCAATATCTAGTCTCTTCTGTTCTTTCTCACTGTCGACTGTCTTGTAGTGAAGCAATGACATGGCTTCTTTACACACCTCCTGAACACGTTTGACCTTGTTGTGGGGGAGCGTTGTGCGCCAAGCTTGGGACACTTGAACAGCATCTCTGGAGTTAATCTGGAAAGCACTTTGTACCTTGACTTTTCCTTTTGGCCGGGTCATATTATTTATCCAAGCTGCCATCTCATCAGTCATCTCTAAACCTACAAATTCATAAATATCGTGGATCTCCTGAAGCGGATTGCGTGTTACGTCTTCATAACGGACCAGTTTGTATCGACCTCTTAGAAACGGAGGAGGGTTCTGGTGGCACTTTGATTGATTCGGATGTGGCTTTGGCAGATTTCTTGCATGACTTCATAATTTTCCTCCGCTGCTGTTACGCTTTTGTGCTCCAAGACGATGGCATTATCCATCTTGAGGTCTAGGGCTGACCGCTCTCTTGACCGATACACAGCCCGAGGATCCCGGATAAGATGAATAATTCGAAGATCAAGGTTGGGGTCTTTAAGAAGAGGGTGAAGGGATTCCAGTTCAAAAAATCGAGTCTCTTTGAAGACCACATGGCTGTAGATTTTGCAGGCTTTCTCCACCATCTCAAAAGGTCGACCATTACATTCCTTTTGGCACTGATCCGTATTGCTTATCTGACCAAATGGTGTGAGGCCACAGACAGGAGGCGAGCACAGAGCCCGACTCTGGTACCACAAAAAAAAGGAGGAAGCTTTGCGCTTATCTGACATGTAGGCATCCATCACAGAGAAGTCACACTGGTACAAGCTCCGCATTAGATCCCTAACAGCCATTCGTAGAGTCCTTGAACCAGATTTTCTGATTTGGCTCCAAACATGCCATGCAGGCTCCATGAGATAGAAAACTGAAGGGTGCTGACTGAACACTTGACCCATGAAGGATGAACCAGATCGCCATGATGAAAGGAGCAAAACGTGAACTTTACGGTCTGGAGGGGCAGAGTCTGCTGAGCCAAGCTGGTAGTACCAGTTGCAGAACAGCAACAATGCTGCCCCCTGCAGGAGCATGAGGAAAATCAAAGTTTTGAAATTAATTCTGTTGCAAAATCTCATAGCTGAAGGTAACTGTCAGTTTTTGGTGAAGGAGAACAACAGCTCTGTTTCTGCTTCAAGGTGTTAAATTGATCTGCTTTAGGCTAAGGTTAACTCTAAAGGTCAGGAATGTTTATCAGCCTCATGGATTTCAGTAGATCTGCCTTTTCTTCTTGCAAGGAGACAGACATATGTTGTTTCTGTGGGGAAATAAGTCAAAGAGAGAAGACATATATTAGTATTATGTACTGAAATACTTATGAACAACTATCATTAAAAACTTGAGCATACCTCCTGCTTGACAAAGAGTGGACAGCTCTCCTGCTCTAAGACCTGGTCCAAAACCAGGTCAAATCTCAACAATAATATGGGTTTGTATAGAGTGCCTTAAAGCCCTTTTGCCCAAAAACATTGATTTAGTGCACTGCTGATGCTGATTTTATATATATTTTTGCCTTTCAAATGCTTTGATCCATCTTTTTTTAAGAGCCGAATAAGAACCATTTGATTTCCAGTTAACCTTTACAGTTTTAATGTTGCTTGGGCCTAATACTGGAATCTAAACCTATGAATGTGTTTTTTTAATTTGCAGACTCAAAGTCTAGAATTTCAACTTTAAGAACTTACCTCTGATCATCATACCCTCAACTAAAGTGAAAGATTTTACTGCAGTTTATATTTTAAACAGCAGATGACACTGGTGATCAAATGGGCAAATATTAAAATAAAACAAGTAGAAGTTGTAGAGGAAGTGCAGTCCTCAGAGAAAAAACTCAATACAAAAGCTCACATTTGAAGTTTATCTTTTAAGCTTTTGCACAAGCATTAAAAACCTTAAACTTGCAATGGTCAGAAACGGTAACAATGGAGATTTATATCAATATTGAACGTTGTGCCACTCAAGTATCTTAGATTAAATACATCTTTATATAGTGGGTACTGAAAGTATTTAAACCCCTTTAAATTTTTCTCTCTTTGTTTCATTGCAGCCATTTGCTAGAATCAAAAAGTTAATTTTATTTCTCACTGATGTACACTCAGCACCCCATCTAGAAAGAAAAAATAACAGAACTGTAGAATTTTTTGCAAATTTATTAAAAAAGAAAAACTGAAATATCAAATAGTCATAAGCTGGGACGCTCATATTTAACTCACATGCTGTCCATTTATTTTGTACGGAAGCCGAGAGCTCATTATCTAAACATAACGAAATCCCTTTTTTTGGGATAACGAGATGATAATTTTCTCTTTAGAAATCCATTTTCTCGTGACGAGATGATTGGTGTGTATTAAACTGATTACATCCTTCAATACTGCAACAGAGGAGGAGGATTTATAAGTATAAGTCATGGCAGCCTATGTGTAATTCTGTAAAAAAAATACTGTTTAACTTTTAGGTAATTAGATAATGTTGTTGGTTTGATGAATTGCTTCCACTTCTGATTCATAAGCAATTAGATGCAAGCCCAGATGAGCTAGATGTCCCATGAGTGACTTTGTTTACATTTTATCTCGACCTGCATAGAGCGCAAGGAGACATATCCACTTTGCTGACTGCCACTGGCAGTCATCCAGGAATTCACAGAACCATAATTACAACGTAATTTATGATAACTTTATCTAGACTCCACAACTGTATCCCTGATCTGCCAGCTGTGATCCTTGGTCTCCACAAAGTTGTTTGCTCACTCAAAACCTTCTCAGCTACGCTCATCTTCTGAAGAGATTGATCAAATTAATGAAGCTGGAAACATATTTATTTTAAAATGAATTTGTATTTACTGTAACCTTTTTGTTTTTACTTTCTGTTTGGTATTTCCAGTACAGCCACCTTTGCTTGATCGATATATAGAATATTTTTGAAGGAATGTGTGAATAGATATTGTTGTTATTATAGCACCAAGGTGACTAGGGTTGGGAATTGAAAAGATTTTCACGATTCCGATTCCCTTTTCGATTCTATGAAACGATTCGATTCTTTATCGATTCTTTTTTCGATTCCAATTTGGGGGAAAAAGGAGAACAAACAGTTTGATTATCAGCATCAACTTTGTTTACTTAACTATTGCACAATCTTACAAAATCAACAAGATCAAGATGTCCACAGGAAATGTGAAACTGGAGTAACATCCGTGTTTAAATAAAAAATGAATACAAGAACAAACTTAATAACCAACAATGTCTAATAACAAATGATGGGATAATAACCTATTTTAAATAACAAAAAATACTAGTTATAAAACAGTAGTAGGGAAAATTAACAGTTCTTTTGCAGAAAGATGAGCATATCTGCTTTTTCTGGAAGGATACGGGATCTTTCAGGGCTTATGGTGTCTCCAGCCGTGGAGAACACCCTCTCAGATGGGGTGGAGGAAGCCTGCACACAGAGGTAGTTTTCAGCCAGTCCAGATAGCAAGGGCAGCGTATCTTGCTTGTTCCACCACCACAGTGTGGCGCTATCCCTGCAGGGGATGGAGGGCAAGCTTTTATAGAGCTGGATTTCCTGATCTACCCTCTGGGCTAAGGAAAGACGGGGCTTTGATTCACAAAGTGACCGCAGCTCGTTGTCTTCCTCCTCGAATAGTTCTTCCAACTTGCGTAACTTACGTAAAAAACGTGACGTAAGTCGTGCTCCCCAGAGCCGGCGCTCTATGCTCTGGTGCTGCGGGAATCGAAAAAAGAATCGTTCAGAGAGCTGCCAAACGATGCCATGGAATCGGAAAATACGGAACCGGTTCTGAACAGGAACCGGTTTTCGATTCCCATCCCTAAAGGTGACCCTATAATTTTATCCTTTCTTAGTGTTTCAGTTTGGTTTTTACACACATCACAACAAAAAGCCTAATAATAACAGATTGTCTATGATATCTTTCAGTTCTTACTGACAGAATGTGATCCAAACTGTAGCTAGTTCTGTCTTGTATATTTTTCCCCCTCTACACAACTTCCTCTCATTTTAATGCAGCTTAGTTGCTGTTCATGCTCTTCAGATACAATCGTACTGGAATCACTTTTCTGCCATCTGGTGGTGAGAGTGCAAATCACACCCAATTGAGATTTTGCAATTTCTGACTGCATTTTAAAAGTTTAAGTTTTTTTATCATCATGTGATATTTACGTTTTGAGGATTATTTCTATTATTGGGCCACAATTGTGTTCTCAATCAACCCAAAAGACTCCTTAATATCAAAATTTCATATTTTTGGAAGTTGATGTGTTTTTTTTTTTTTATTTGGCCATTTTATGAGGATGTCTGTGTGTGCAGGTAAATATTATTGTGCAGAATTATTAGGCAACGTAATAAAAAACAAATATATACCCATCTCACTTGTTTATTTTCACCAGGTAAACCAATATAACAGCTCAAATTCAGAAATAAGCTTTTGTGACATTTGTGACGCAATAACAAATCAGTGACCAATATAGCCGCCTTTCTTCACCATGACGCTCAAAAGCCTTCCATCCATAGATTCTGTTAGTGTCTTGATCTGTTTGCGATCCACATTGCGTGCAGCAGCCACACCAGCCTCCCAGACACTGTTCAGAGAGGTGGACTGTTTTCCCTCCCTGTAGTTCTCACATTTCATGAAGGACAACAGGTTTTTTAATGGGGTTCAGATCAGGTGAACAAGGGGGCCATGTCATTATTTTTTCTCCAGCCACGCTGTGGTGTATTTTGATGCGTGTGATGGAGCTTTGCCCATCATGAATATCATGTTTTTCTTGAATGATGGCGACTTCTTCTTGTACCACTGTTTGAAGAAGGTATCTTCCAGAAACTGGCAGTAGGTCTGGGAGTTGACCTTGACTCCATCATCAACCAGAAAAGGTCCCACAAGCTCATCTTTGATGATACCAGCCCATACCAGTACCCCACCTCCACCTTGCTGCCGTCTGAGTCGATAAGGAACTTGCTGCCTTTTACTGATCCAGCCTCATGCCCATCCAGCTGGCCCATAAAGACTCACTCTCATTTAATCAGACCAAATCACCTTGGAGAAATCAATCTTTAGATATTTCTTGGCCCAATGTTGATGTTTTGTCTTGTGTGTCTTGTTCAAAGGTGGCCTTTTTTCGGCTTTCCTTACCTTGGCCAGGTCCCTGAGTATTGAGCACCTTGTGATTCTCGGCACTCCAGATATGTTGCAGATCTGAAATATGGCACTTCTGGTGGCTAATAGATTTCTGGCACCTTCACGCTGGATCCTTCTCAATTCATGGGAAGTTATTTCGCGACTTCTTTTTTCAACACGCTTTTTGCGCCCCTGTTGGCTATTTGCCATAAACAATAGCAGCTTTAATGGAATATGAAGGAAAAAAAATTATTAAACATTTCTGATACTGGAAAACATGTAGAATAAAGTGATGTAGGTGCTAAATTCATGCATGAAGAGTCTAAATTTAATTTAAGGCCTGTAGCAACTATCAATCACCTTTTAATCGCTTCTGGGTGCTTGGAATTTTGGTATTAAAGAGCTTACAAGATGATGTCCAGACCGGGAGATGAGTTATGGGCATTCCCATTTATTGAGGTCAGTTTGTAAATGAGTAATCTGTTGGAGTGGCAGTCTTTTAAAGCAAGTAAGATGGACAGGTAATTAGGGAGAGTGTGGATATGACAGAGCTTAACCATAGGATAAAGGCTATTGTATGCCAAAGAAAGCGGTAAAGACAGTATGACCTCCTGCCACCAAAACCCTTTCTGCCCTCTCACCTTTATACTTTTCCACTCCACACCACCACCAGTGGAAGAGCAAAATAGGGCAGTGTCTCAATTTAAACAAAACACCAGCACCCAAACCAAACAAACCATACCTAAACCCTCTTTTCTTTGAGGTTACCTGGTCAGGTGTTGCCATGTAAGCGCGCCCATGAGCAGTGCTGACAAGGACCTGGTGTTACCAATCAGCCTCATAAAGGAAATCCACACTGACTGAGAGGGACTAAACCGCAGGGTTTAGTCGTACAGTGTGAGTTCAAAGCTCACAATGTATGTGCAGCACGAATCTCTCATGCGATCTACCTGCTCACACTGTACATCTAAAAACCATGTCGGACTCAGCCCCGCAGTGAGATGGAGCTGCTGTGACTCGTCAATCCGGAAGCCAAACAAACAGAAGGGGATTATGAAGCTCACTAGAGAGAAATGCGCTGCCTTGGCAATTTGTGCATTTTGTGTTGCAAGCCCTAAAAAGAAAAGGCGACAACGTATTTGTACAAAGACATGGCAGAGAAATTCCAGTTACCACGGTCTGTCAATTTTACAGAAAGAATTCCATTTCACTCGCACCCCCGCCATGCTTCTGGGTTTTCATCTGAGAGGAAGAAGCAGAAGGAGAATCCTTGTTTGCACTGAGTGATTTGCCGACGACGGTTGGGAGAAAATCAAACGTGTTTGATTTTCTGCTGACCTAACGATTCCTGATCGGGAGCTGGTCGTGAGAGGCTGATCGCCCCCCGTTACCCCCTGTACACTACACGACTCACAATGCACACTGGGAAAAATTGAAATCTAGATAAGTCATTTTTTTCTTAAAATAAGTGCATTTATTCTTGGATTGAGGAAGAAAAAGAGACATTTTGCCACTGGAACAAGACAACTTCCACTTAAAATCAGAAAACACAATTGCATTGTCTTATTTCAAGTGCAAATTATCTAAATATCTAATTTTAAGAGTAAAAATACTCATTCCATTGGCAAACTATCTAATTTACTTACTAAAATTAAGGGAAAATACACTTAATTTAGGAAATTTTAACTTATTTCAAGATGGTTTTTCCAGTGCATGATCAGGCTGAAAGTCGGCCCGATCGGAAATTTCTCGCACCACTGGAAAATCACCCCGAAAAGGACAAAAAATCACACAGTGTACACCGGGCTTAAGAGGTTGTGGGCCATAAGCAACTGCTGTCTCAGCTTACCGATATTTTTTACCATCCCTAAAGGAATATCTTTTTCTTTTTTTTTTCCTTTTTTTCACAGTGTCCTGTCTGGTGATGTGGCAATAAGAAAAATTTATGCATATAGATTGCTTTATTATAATTATGCAGGGAGTTTTACAGATTATATGGACACTGCAATGTAGGTGGAACAGTAAAGGAAAAACAGAAAAAAGAGAAAAGATGAAAAAAATAGGAGATAAAAGGGAGATAATGATAAAAAATTTTCAGTCTGCTTCATCACCTGCAAAGAGATGTAAAAAGAACAGCACAACCAACGGACATGGTATGAGACATACAATAATGTAACAACTACATACTATCGCTGAAGTATAAGTGGTATTATTTAATCTGACATGTACTCTGTGTTACCTGAAGATAAGAATATGGGCTTTCTGGAAGTGAATCTCTAAGTACCTGGAACCAAGTAATTTATTTTTCCTCGCAGAATAGATGAATCTAATCTGAAAATAATCTCAGGAGTTCTTCGTGTACTGTAATAACTAAATAAAAATGAAATGATCCGCATCTGGCTCATATTAAACAAACCAAAAACAAGTAACCTCATGTCCTGTCAAATGAGTTGTAGAATCTTCTACCTATACATATTTAATTCCCCGTGAAGAATAGCCCATCATTCTTTAATAAGATACTTGTAATGGAGATACAATGTTCACTTTTAAAACCTAATGAATGTAACGGAATGAAATGTAAAAACTAACTACTTCTTTTTATATTTTGTGGTTTATTCCTTTAGATAGATAGATAGATAGATAGATAGATAGATAGATAGATAGATAGATAGATAGATAGATAGATAGATAGATAGATAGATAGGAAGGAAGGAAGGAAGGAAGGAAGGAAGGAAGGAAGGAAGGAAGGAAGGAAGGAAGGAAGGAAGGAAGGAAGGAAGGAAGGAAGGAAGGAAGGAAGGAAGGAAGGAAGAAGAAGAAAGAAAGAAAGAAAGAAAGAAAGAAAGAAAGAAAGAAAGAAAGAAAGAAAGAAAGAAAGAAAGAAAGAAAGAAAGAAAGAAAGAAAGAAAGAAAGAAAGAAAGAAAGAAAGAAAGAAAGAGAACTTTATTCCGGACTCATGGTCCAATAAATACATACATAAAATAAAAATAGTTAATAATAAAAAAAACACAATAAAAGTACCATTATCGACTAAACAGGAACTTTAAGAAGACAGTAATACCAGCGTCACCACAGCTTAGACTGATATAGGATTGCACTAAGTTTGGTGTCAATAATTGACAAGATAATATCCTTTCCAGATGCATTTAACCTACATATAAACTGACACATTAACTTTCGTAAAACAGGTTGTACATCATTATAGGCCACCTGTAGCCTTTGCAGGTTAATTTTTCTATATGTATTTAATTTGTCCATCTTTATTTGTTTTAGCCAAATATCCAACATAAAAATATATCTCAATCGATCTAAAGCATATAAAGCGACTGAAGCTCAGACTTTGACCTGCCCTCATCTAATGCGCCTGATTTAATAAGAACAATACATAAATGTATCTTTAATGAAATAAAGAGAAGTTTATTCGGTTTATATCCATATAGTGTAACAATTGTGAACTCCTACCTTAGTGTGTTTATTAACCAGTGATAATGGCTCCCAGGATGCGCACAGCTCTCCTCCTGTTCCCTGGACATGAACTGCGACAGAAGCGGGACCAGATGAGCCGCGAACGCTGATCAGCAGGAGGGGCCTACTTTACATCTACAAACAGGAGGACATCGTGAGGTAATTCAAATGGTCTGATTTTATTCTGAAGTAGTTTTTGTATTAAGTTTAAGTTATAAATTTGTTTAAATTGTTTATGTAATGTTTAATTCGTTTAGAAACCCGTAAGTTTGTTTCGTGGGAATTGACCCTCAGCAATTCCTTCAGGGAGGTTACCTGCGGTCAGCGGAAGGATCCCCTTCCCTCGCTGTCATGTGAAACCTGATCAATTATTTGATCTGAAATGATTTCAAGAAACCCGTTGCCTTAAATCATTTGAATTTATTAACTCAAACTATTAAGTTTAATAGAAAATCTATTTAAGAAGAATACATTTACTTATTCAATGCTATTGTTAAGGTAAAATTAGTTTTAAACTTTACTATATTCATATATATTTTTTATGAAAAAAAAATCTCTACAAAAAAAAAGCAATCATCAAAAATATTACTTTTTACCTATGTTTTCATTACTCCATGAAGATATCATTATGTCTGCTGTCTAGCTGAAACAAGGAAGAGGTAAATGAGTGTAGGTGTATGACTCTTATCAGTCTAGATACATTTGCGTTGGTTAAATTAACACTGTTGCAACTGTCCCCACTCCCCCATCAACTGAATTCATTAGATGCTTTTGAGCCTGTTTTTGAGCTGAGCTGTATTTATGGTCCACAGCTTTCCACCACTTCTGTGGGCTTATCTGTCTACCTTACCCACACAGCTGTGGTCTTATATGAACAAAAGAAAAAAAACGGTTTTAACAGATCTAAGGTTATATGTGTATTTGTGCACCACTTTGATGATCTAGATGCCACAATTTAGCAATTAGACATCTCCCAACACAATCTCATAGTTTTTAATTTGAATCTAAATTTTGATCTTTAAATTTGGAATAAGTCTATGAATATATTGAAATTAAAAACAGTAAATTCAATACTCCAAAATATGACTTTCAAAGTATGAAGAAGAGCAAGCAATTATAAATGAAAATCATAGTTCTGACTTTAAATTAAATATATGGTTAGCAATTGATACGTTGTGGAAAAAATGAATGAAAAGAAAAAGAAAAATGAATAAATGAGTTCAGTTATGGAGGCTAAACTGGAGGGTAAAGAGTTACTCAGAGCACATTGTTCCTCTGAGGGATCATTAAGCCCGTTTAGATACAAGGAAATTTAAAGCCCAGGCTTTGTATTAACCGGCTGATAACAAAGCGTATCCTGTGCTGGCAGATATAACTGTTGATTTTTCACGCCACTATTGTGGCTACTAAACACATTTATCCACCTCTCCACCTAACTCACCAACATATCTGAATCTTTTAAACAGCACTATTTTCTTTGTAGTTTTCCTGCGGTTTCAATTTGTTACCATGAAACAACAATTATCCACTGATCCATGTAAATAAACAATAGCATTCACATGGTGTTTTGCATGATTTCTATATGAATGTGTATATCACACATATATATATATGTGTATAGATATATATCACACGTATATATATGTGTGTGTGTGTGATTTACTGTATATATATACATATATATATATATATATATATATATATATATATATATATATATATATATATATATATATATATATATATATATATATATATATATATATATATATATATATATATATACAAAGTTACCAATATTTCTGTTTTATCCTTGATTTTAATGGCCTATTAATTAAATATAACTTCCAGTTCTAGTTATTTAATGTATTCATAATCAAGTGGTGAAATTGCACAACACTAGTGAGAAAAGTTTTCACATTATTTTAAAGGTTGGTGAAGCCAGATTGGATTTAAGGAAGAACATTTTAAATTTGTAATTTAAAGACCCTTTTTAATGATCCTAATGCTTACATTTCAAAAAATGAAATAGCAAATTTTGACATTTGGGTGTAAATAAACAGTAAAAATCAATTACAGACTAACCAAAAAGGCAATGACATTATTGTTCTTCAGCTTGATTTTTATATTTAGTTAAATAACAAAAAATGAATAGAGTGCTGCTGTTCATGTTTTTAAAATTGCTGTTTTTACAGTTCTTATAAAGGAGATAAGTGTCATAAAAGGTTTCAAAGACAAAAAAAAAAAAATTGACGAAATTGCCTTTTATCCAGTCCCTAAAGCTATAGGTTTTATAGTACTTAGTTCCGGTTTACTGACAAAGATTGTCAAACCTTGGACACAAACAGATGGCTGAGTTCCTGAAAGCCTCACCTAAGTTCCAGGACAATGAAATATTGTTACTTATCAAAGTGCCAACATTTTATACCAATAAAAAAGATTTAAAGCTGCAGTGTGAGAGACACCACAGATGAAACCTGCTTTATTGATTTATTCAGGAATAGTCACAGGAAAGGTGCTCACTGTAACTGCTGCTGCCACAAGGTGTGGCACAAATTACTCATTTCTTTCTTCTTACAGTTTTTATATGTGCCATAATAGAAAACATTAAACTGATTTTGTTTTTTAATTATTCTATTCTCACGCATATATGCTGTTTAACCGTGTTTTATCCAGAAAAGTTTATGGAAACCATCAGTATAAAATAAACACAACTCTGCTTTCCAACATATATTTAATCATCATACAGCAACTCACATCAATCTATTTCTATAAATATATTCTGAACTGTTTTGGAAAAAAATAAAAAAAAGATATGGATGCATGGATGGATGACAGTTTATCTGTACCAGATGAAGGAGCCTCTGGGGCAGGACAAAGTCAGGTGACATAAATAGTGAGCGTACAAACTTAAGAATTTTAAAAGAAATCTTAAAGAAACTGATTAGAAACAAATGAGTTTGTGACCCAAAAATGTTCAAGAACATAATTAGAAAGCAGAGCAAAGAAACTTTAAAAACAAGGAAAACAACTAGAGTCAGAGCATCTGCAAAAAAAAAACAAAAAAAAAACACCATAGAAACCAAACTTATATAAAATCAACAGAAACAGAAAAAAACAGAACATAAATAAATAAAAAATAAGCAGATTTAAACACACTTAGAGATGAAACAGGTAAAACATTACTAGATGAAAGAGAAAAAGATGTAAATATTCCAAAAGGGGTCAGTCTGTTCTTATAAATTAATAAACATTAAATAAAAATACTCCTTACATACATTTATTAGTGCCACATTATGTTTGTATAACAGAGACATTGCTTTACACCCACATTCTGTTTGGTCACAGTAGACATTCTGTACATTAGTTTTACTGTAACAGTATATTTCATTTCTTTTTGCATATTTCGCCTTGCATGTGAGAATTAAAATGAATGCTGATATTTTTCATGCTTTGATACTTTGAAGCTCTATCTCATCAACTTCACTTTAAGAACTTACTCCACATAACTAATAGCATCCCACAGCTAATCTATATGTTTGAGTGATTAAATTAAAATGATTTAATGACTGATGCTGATCCTCTAAAGTAAACAGTTAAGAGTTAGGAGGCTATACTGCTGTACAATCAAAATATAAGCCTTGCACCTAATGAGCAGTTTGGATATCTAAGTACTTATAACTTTGATGAAAATATCAATATAAAACTTTAGTTTTTAGTTGTTCCCTCCAATAAAAAAATCCCCAATGAGCATCTCAGCAAATTCAAATTTTAAAAAATGTTGAATTATCCACTCATTCAAGGCAAAAATGGAAGGTGATCGACTGTAGAGGTTTATATTGGTTCTTTTTCATTATCTCGCTGATGGCTTATCACAAAAACTGTTTCTTGGTAAATTTGAGTTTTACCTTAAAGCAATGAGGTTATTATGTCTAAAAACAAAAGTTGTGTTTTGGGTCTACACAAACATGAAAAGACTGCTGACATGACACTTGTCCACAGGGGAGTCACTCCACAGGGTGGGTGAGGAATTAAAGGCTATTGGAGACAAAGCTAAATGTAAAAAGTGTTGTATAGGGATATTAATAAAAAAGTTAAGTGGAAGGAAAAAGTGTGTTAGAGAAAGGCTTGCAGGCAAAACATATAAGCACAGCCATTAGAGGTTGGTTGAGGATGACATTATAACAGCAATACTTTCCCCACATTTGTGCAGAAAAGATACGTCTCTCTGTCGATCTCTATTAAAGTTTTCAGATAAAGTGGATTTTTGGATAAGTGTACCTTAAACTATAAAAACAATTTAAACAAGTAAATACCAATGACATTTTCTCCCAGTATGGGCTCCTTGTAATATACGAGTTTGTTTTTTTTATTATTTGCTAAAATAAATCCAGTTTTTGATCACAATGACATTTCATCCAGCTTCTAATGATCCTGTTCAGCTCCCTTCATTCTGTTTTTGCTGAGGACAGATTAGTACCCTTAATAAAGCTGGAAGATAAGGGAAGAATTCTGATGCTATAAATGGTTGGCATTGTTTCAGTATCACCAAAACAATCTCTTTGTGTGTAAGAGCTCAGATATCTGCTGATGCATGCAGGAAGTCAACGCAGAAGCAAAGATGCTGTACCACCTACAGGAAAGCCTTTGTTCTGACCTGTTTGTTTTCAACAATGCACTTCAAACCAAGGTGAAACTTAGGCTGAGCTGAACTATATACTTTTTTGTTATGATTTACCAAATGAAAAAGAATAAACCTTGTTGTAGACTTCATTAAACTCAGACAGACTGAGCTGTAAATGACACCCTCAACAAAAAACAATTCATTTGCTATCTAAGTAATCCAGCTGACCCCTATTACTTGTTACCTTCCCTTTTATTGTGTACTGATATTTCTTTGTCATTCATGTTTATTTTTTGAACTTTTTTTAAAAAGCAAAAAAAAAAAAATTTTTTAATAGGAAATTTTAACTGGAGAGCAGCTCATTTAAGGGAAAATCGATAGTATTTTAGAGCTGCAAATCTGAGAAAGTTGAATTTTTAAGAATTTTAATAAGAAAAAGTGTGGAACAGAAAGGCGCTATCATAAGGGCAATGAAGTTTCTTTTTATTGCATTGTTTACTAATATAATATATGCATTCAGATATTTCTGAAGACATATTTCTTTCAAGACTTATGCATTCACTTATTTACATATTGTATCACAACTGACATATCATACTTATATGATATAATATGTCAGTACTAAAAAAGTACCTTGGATATGTCTTCAGACTTGCACACTAAGCTCACATTTTCTGATAAGTCTCTTAAGCCGCATAGCAGTATTTCTCAAACAACTCATGCTGTTTTGTTGTGCAATATTCTGTATTTCTACTGCAGAAATGAATGCTGCAGCCTAACTCTGTGCATCACATACATAATAGGCAACCAAATCCTGTCTGCACTGGGAAATAATAATTCTATTATGCAGTAAGAAGCTAAAGTTCAGTTTACAGCATCCAGGCAGTCGGTCTATTTGTTTCTTGTTTTTCATCACAAGCTGTGCTTAGTTCAAGTTTCTCAGGAACACAGATTATAGTTTTTAGAAAATACACCTGCCCTTGCACTGGACACATTTAATGTGAGACTGGGTGTTTCTAAACCATGGTAAGGTATTTAAGTGTTGGTAAATCTGAATGTTGTTCATTCCGCTTAATGTGTCCCTATGGTTTAAAATACTTCAAGTTTCTCCACTAAAGAAGAAGAGAATCCAGAAGTCACTGGGCCAAATACGGATCACAGATTCAATCAAAAGCAACACAAATAAACTCTACATGTTAAACAGCATATGTAGAAATACCCTGAATAGAATTAGTTGCAGATGTTTTCAGAACTATTTAATTTATTTCAAATTTTTTCTCGTCTCAACACCAACTTCAGTGGATTTTATTGGAATGTTTTGTTGTAGAAAAAACACAAGGTAACACAAAACTGTGAAGTGAAATACAAATGTAGCAAAGCTTTGAAACAGTTTTCACTCATAAAAAAAGAGTATCAGAAAACTACAATGTGCCTTTGTATGTAACCCCTGTTATAAGAATACGACAAAAAATAAATAAATTAAATAAACCTCCAGGTGGTCTTTTGGAAAATAGCTTGGGAGGGTGTTAGTTACAGCTGCAGACAGCTCTACAAAAAGGTTGAGGAGAAGTTTAAAGCTGGGTTAGGCTATAAAACAAATAATCTAAACATTCTAGAGAGCTGCAGCACCAACTACTATGCTAACAAGACGTGTCCTTCCACCGAGGTTGATCTCTGAAAAATCTGGTTTCTATGGTTTCTGGTTTCTAAGATTTTAAATTGTGTCCTTTATACTTGGTACAGCTAATGTGAGGAGAAAGCTGCTCTGGTTTACATGCAAACTGCTAAATGTCTAGTGAAATATGCTAGTAGATCTTTTTTTTTTTTTTTTTTAGCAAAACAAGGATGATGGATGGGACTAAATGCTTGGTCAGAGCTTTACCTTCAAATGGGACAATAATCAGCCAGAGCTAAAAGGAAATGCTTTTGGATCAAGACATATATACATGTCTGATAAAATACATATCTATGAGAACCAGAATCTATGGCAAATTGTGTTTTCTGCAGATCATTAAATCAGAGCTGAGTACAACAGCAGTTTGCATTTAAAGAGCAATAACTTTGTGAGAAACTCCAAAAGTCTCATGTGAAGGCATAATTGATCAGCCGAAAAACAGACCACGGTATGTTAGACTGAAGGTCCAGCTGTATAATCAAGTAGTCAGCAGGGTAGGAGCACCACAGGGGACAGTACTCTCTCCATTCCTTTTCACTCTGTACACATCTGACTTCCAGTACCAGACAGAGTCCTGTCATCTGCAGAAATAGTCAGATGTCTCTGCAGGCATTGGGTGCATCAAGATAGACAAGAAACTGAGTACAGAGAGCTGGTGAACCGTTTTGTGGCATGGAGTGGAAACAGTCTTGTTATCCTGAATATTAACAAAACAAGGGAGATTACTGTAGATTTCAGAAGAAACAAGAACAAGTTGAATCATATTAACACCATGGAGAACAAAGTGGAGGTGGGAGAGGAGTATAAATACTGTGACGTTTACCTGGACAACAAACTAGACTGGAGACATAACTGTGAAGCCCTCTACAAGAAGGGACAGAGCAGAATGTGCTTCCTTAGGAAGCTTATGTCCTTCAGTGTCTGCAGCAAGATGCTACATATCCTCAATGTCTGTTGTAGAGAGTGTGATCTCCTCTGCCATCATCTACTGGGGTAACAGCATCAGGGCAAATGAATTAAATAACTCAAAAAGCTGATATATAGCTTGTTGAGTCGAGGAACTCCCCTGGAAACTTATGGAAGTAAATCTGTGTCGCTGGGATTTGAATTAAAAATGCTACTGAAATTTAAATGTCGTATGTTTGTACTTACTGTTTAAGTGTTAAAATATATTCAGAACACATTCTTGACCTAAAAAAAATTCATTGTCATTATTTCTACACAGTTGAAATTTCATTTGTTATTTTCTCTTCAAGCTAAAAATTCACATTACTATTTACAACATTTAAATTTCAGTGGCATTTTTAATTCAAATCCCAGCGACATAGATTTACTTCCATAGAAACTCAGGAGATTACTTCACAAAGAAGAATTCTTCATAAAAGGAAGAAAAATATGAACAACAAGGAGCATCCTCTTCAGAAGATTTTTAAATAACATCAACTTGTCTTCATTAGAGGCTTCTCCAGATCTGGAACAGAATATCCTTCCTGCCTACAGCTATCAACATCTACAACAACCCTCCCATCAAATAAATGCTGCAAATCCTGCATCACTTTCCCTTCACTTAAAAGTTCTGAGGTATTTCATGTTTTCCATCACAGAAAACCCCCGGGAATTGAGAAAAAAAATATTTAATGGACAAATAAAAAATATAATGTATGGGCCATGTTTCTATTTTTACATCTTTGTAGGTCCCTTATTAAAAAAAAAAATGCTAAAGCTTAATCTCCACTTGCTGTTAAAGAACACTGGGGAGAGATTAATTCATCAGACTTTAAATTGTATAAAAGAAATGAAGACTAATGTAAATAAGCTCTGTCTGCTTCATGTCTCCATCTGGGCTGTCTGAAAGATTAATTGTGACTTTTCAAGGCAAATGAAGAGAATCTATGAGTGATGATAACATCGTCCCATAAGTTCTGTAAAATGAGATATATTGTAAATCCTATAGAGCTAATTGAGTGTTTATAGAGGTTTCCAGGAGCAAGACAAAACTGCTGCTGGCTATCTCCACTGACACACTCACACAAACTATACTGTCATGCATTATAGCTTTAGGTTCTCTACATTCTGAAAGGTCAGCATTCCACAAAGTCCTGCTTTAACGGTGATTGTGACAGCAGTGTTTGCTGCTCGATCAGTCTGTTCCCTCTTTCAAGTTTGTGGCCTCTGTTGCTCTGTTAGATCTGTTAACTAGTCTGGCAATGATCTAACTGACAGACTCTAGCTGTTTCCTGAGAGTTGAGTTTTAGCAGGAACCCAGCTGAACTCATATGGTTCCTGTGGAACCAGCAGATCTATGTCCAGTCTCTTCTGCTCTTTATCGCTGTCAACAGTCCTATAACCGAGGCGTGACATGGCCCCTTTACAAATCTCCTGAACGCGTTTGACCTTGTTATAGGGAAGCGAGGTGCGCCATGCCTGGGAGACATCAGCAGCATTCCTAGAGGTGATCTGAAAAGCCTCTTTCCTGCTGCCTTTCCCCTTTCCGTGGGTTACTCTGTAGATCCATTCCTCCATCTCACCGGTCATCTCTAAACCTACAAAGTCATAAATATCATTGATCTCCTTCAAAGGGTTGCGTGCAACGTCTTCATACCGGATCATTTTGTAGCGACCCTTCAGAAACGGAGGAGGCTTCTGCATCGCCCTTTCATTGATCCGAACATGGCTCCTGCAAATCTCCTGCATGACTTCATACTGCACGTTGGCTGCTGGAACGTTTCTCTGCTCCAGGACAATGGCGTTATCTCGGTCAAAGGCTTTGGCTGATTCCTCTCTCGACCTCATCACGGCCCGGGGGTCTCTAATGAGGTGAATGATGCGGAGGTCCAGGTTGGGATCTTGCAGAAGAGGATAAAGAGACTCCAGCTCAAAAAATCTAGTTTCTTTTAGAACCACATGACTGTAAGTGTGACATGCCTCCTCCACCTTCTGAAAACCTGAAGAATCACATTTTTTTTGGCACTGAGTCTCATTGCTTATCTGTGTGCGTGGTGTGAGGGGGCAGGCTGGGGGCGAGCACAGCGCCCGACTCTGGTACCACATGAACAAGGTGGAAACATTGTAGTTTTCCGGCATGTAGGCATCCATTACTGAGAAGTCACACTGGTACAAGCTCCGCATCAGATCCCTCACAGCCATACGAAGAACTCGTGCACCAGGTTTCTGCAGTTTGGTCCACACGTGCCAACCGGGCTCCATGAGATAGAAAACAGATGGGTGCTGACTGAAAGCCTGACCCAGGAAGGATGAACCTGATCGCCATGACGACAGCAGCAACACATGAATTTTGCCTTTAGGGGGAACAGAGTCACAGGGGCTTAACTGGATGTACCAGTTGCAGAACATTACCACTGCTGCCCCTTGCAGGACAACCAGGAGAATCATAGTGTTGAAGTTAACTCTGCAGTGGGGACTCATGGCTGGAGATCACTGCAGGTTTCAGGTGCAGAAGACCATCAGATTTTTTGCTCTTCTCTGCAAAACAAGAAACACAAGAAAAAGAGAGAGGAACACCGATTTTATGATGGGGTAGTTCATAAAAACAAACAAAAAACAATGATTTCTTTGCTTGTATTTTTTTTTTTTTAGAAATATGACAGATTTTTCTTTTACCTATCAAAGGTCCATTTACTTTAATTTCATTATTTGTATTTTATTTATGTCATTACTTCACTATGCAAAATAACGCAGTCATGTGCAGTAATTGTCATTTAGTTCTGACCAGCATTGTAAATCATAAATCCTGCTGATCGTACATACTGTGATCTTATTTTATTCTTATATCTCATTTAAAGAATTTTATAAAGTAATTGTGATTCTGATTGAATGAAAAAAGACCAATAAACACCAAACCATCCTGAAAACTCTCATGGCCCTAGTTCATTTTAGATTATATGAACTGAATACTTTACAGTGACAATTCAAATGCGGAGCAATTAATTTTGGAAAGTGTGATGGAAATTAAGTTTTTAAACATATTCAATGTTCCAAAATAAGGATAAATGAATAAGATCAGTAATAATAAAATAAGAACACCTCTGTAAATCGATTATTTGTCTTAAGGCTAATTTATACTCAGAAACCAGGTTGTCTTTTCTTCTACACCCCTAGCCAAAACACATCCATAATTTGGTGCTCTGATATGGGATTTATAGTTCTGAACCCACAAGTTGTAGTTCTGATCCGTAACAGCTCCATAGAGCAATGCAGTGTCATATTAAAACATTACAGGATGTATTTTACTCACAGCACGAAGGGTGGATTATTAACACCTCCTTTTCTTTTATGATGCATTTTGGGAAGTTTTCTGTAACATCATCGATTAATCAGTCTCACATAGAAAGTGATCCACCGAGTCATCCTGATCCCACAGTTGTCTAAATGTGTTTGCTTTAGACCAGGACGTACAGCAATAAACATCCCCTGAAAGTTCTGTATCTGAAAAACTAAACAGCACTATAGCAAAAATATATATTTAAAAAAGGCTGGGAGACACGCCTCTTTGACTAACACAATGCAGCTTAACCAGATTGTAAAACTACAGCCAAAAAAACTGGCACCAAGTCAGAAAATAAATTTAAAGCTCATATTCAAATATTTGCAGAGCTAAGGAAAAAGTTTAACAACAGTTTTACAATTCTGATATAGAGTATGTCAAGGGAAGATTATTTGAATAGCACAATTAATGTAATTAAATTCAAAATGCTCTACATAAACAGAACTTAAGAATAACAAAGGAAAGTACACTGAAGTTGCAAATTTAAAGAAGCTTAACAGTAGAAGTCCCAGAGAATTTCAGGCCCCGTCCACACGAAGACGAACCCTGGCCTAAACGCACAGATTTTATACCAAACCAGCCTCTCATCCATACGACGCCGGCGTTTCGGGGGTCTGTAAACGATCTTTTTTTTATTCAGCCTTCAGAGTGGGAAGATTTCGAAACGCCGTTTTCGCGTTTCCATCTTTACGCTCTAACCGCTTTTTTTTTTTTTACACGCATGCGTCATAGCGTCGCCTCTAAACACGCATGCGCGACACAGTATCAAAACAACAATGGTGCCGTTGCTGCTAATGCTACTCACCCTGCTGTCGGGCTTACAGCAGAATCTTCTTCTTCTGGAATATCTCCAGGAAGAACAGAGCAGTATCGACGACATAGTTCAGCACCTGAATTTGACTTAACCATGAAAATGGACCCGCAGGGCAAACATGTATAAATATAAGTGCGCATGCACAACATTTCGTCGCTTATTTTTGCTTTGGCACCACAGCGCCACTTACAGGCCTGGCATACATTTTGCAGCGTTTTCATGCATTCGTGTGGACGATCACATTTATTTTACGTCTCCGTCTTTACGGCAAACGTTTTGGAAAATATCAGCGTTTCGTGTTCGTTTTGACTTCGTGTGGACGGGGCCTTAGTTTTCATGCATTACTGAAAACTACGTTTTCTAAACCTGTAATATGGGAAACTCTGAGTTTTCTGTTTCAGCAAGAAAGTTTACCAAACCTCTCTTTCAGTCACGGTAGTAACATTCTTCCCAGAGTTAACCTGGTCACGAGCAGGTTTTCTTCAGTAAACTCAGTGTTCTCTGTCTCCGCTCCTCCTACAGCCAATCATGTTGTTTTGATTCCTGATTTTATCACACTTTTGTCGTATTTTTGTGCATTAAAAGAAAAAATAATTCACTAGGTCCGTTACACACATTAAGTTTTAATAGCAAACATTGCATGTCCGTTTGATGAGGATCTTATTAAAGAATGATAGGCACTTTTTTACAGAGAGTTAAATATTTATAGGAAGAGGATTCTACAACTCAGTTGACAGGATATGAGATTAATTCATATTGGTTTGTTTAATAAGAGAATTTTATTTTTATTCATTTTTACAGTACATGAAGAGTTACTAAAATTATTTTCAGATTAAACAAACATAGATTCATTAATTCTCTGAGGGGAAAAGGAATTACTGTATGGTTAGGATTAGGATTCACTCCATGATAGCAATCTACCGAGCCTACTGGCACAATCTAAAGCCATTCAATGGAACTGATCATTGCTAATAATGACCATTTATTGTGATGAAAACATCCGAAGAGGCTGAAAACAATTGTATTTACTGTATAGTCAGTGTATTCTCATTATGAGTTCGTATGAAATCGTACGAAAAGTTATGCACCGTAATTTCGTACGTTTTGGACGTTTTTTTCGTCGTATGCACATGTGCATCTGACGCACAATTCCCGAATATAGAATATAAATTACAATTAGCCCTAACCCTGACCCTAACCCTAAGATATAAAACAGCAAGCAATGTAGTTAGAGACATGAATAAGTGATGATTGCACTGTTTTTCTCAGTTTTACGTCCGTCCACGGATCTGCTTTTTTTTTCTGTCTGCCAGCGCATGCGCACTGATGTGGTTTTTTGAGGAAAAATGTCCAAAACATACGAAATAGTGTGCATCACTTTTCGTAAGATTTCATACGAACTGATAATGAGAATATGTTGGTATAGTAGAAGACATGATCCAAATGAGGAAGATATGATGATGAGATGATGAACATATTCCATCTATTAGAACCTTTTCAGACTTAATCTTCACCCACTTACAGATGATTTCACCTAAAAAGATACCAAATAAACCCATAGCCTAATGTTATTGTGGTCACAACAGACCGTGGTAAGCCATTTTCATATGTATTATTTTTACTGAATATGCTTTTCTTCTCCACCTTCGCTGCGTGTATGTGAGAGATTGCTGCAGAGGCAGTAACACAATGCAATAGAGGTTTTGCTGTCGCCAAATGCTCATCCAGGAGCAAATCTTACAAAGTCACTGACTGGATGCAGTTAGTTGGTTTTCCCCTGATAGAAACTTTTACCAATCCTACTGTATTATAAATTGTCTATGTAAAGTGCCTTGAGCTGACATGAATGTGAATGAATAGGCACTACATAGAAATGATGACCACAGCAAAAACCTCTTTAGTAAAAAAAACTACTGAGAATCCAAATACTAAGTCTAAATAACAGCAATATAAAAGCACTTTATACAGTATGGAATACAAAATTATCAATTATCCTGTGATGAATAGGCATGCATGGTGTTTAAACAGGTCACCTACTGAAATCAACTACATTCCCAAAAACACAAAGGGCCTTATCTTCAAAGATTCCAAATAAGGGGTGTTAAATTGCAAGTGCATTTTTTTTTCTAGTACATACAATAAATTGGGTGTGTTGTGGCTGATCAACAAAGGTTGCTAAGCAATTGTGCAGATGTGCAAACCGGATTCAGCTCCACCCATTAAAATAAGCATTTTACATGTTCTACAGTCAGTTTGAGAGAGGGAGCAAAACAAAGATAAGTTTCAAAGTCATGGAGAATAAAGTAATAATAATTATTATTATTGAAAACAATAAAATGATAATATCAAATTATATTTATAATCCAATCACTGTGCACCTTCTTTGAAGATCTGCTCAGTGCCTACAAACACACACTTGCGTCTGTTTTAAGACATGCAAAGTTTAGACCCAAAGTGTTTTTAAGTTTTTAAAACCTTTTCTTTGTTTTTGTGTTTTTTATAATAAAAAAATAAGGAACATAAAATGTTTACAATTATTTTAAAAAACAACCAGTGTATCAGATGAGATATTTGGAAGAAGATTTGCACATTTTTCCAGACATTCCAGAACATTTCCAGAACACTTGACCAAACATGGAACCATAGTATTGTTGAGATATATTACCAACATGGAACTAAATCAGTGGGCTGAACCATCTCCGTTGCCACCTGAACTACCCCTTTTGTTCTTGTCCACAATGGAACTACCCCACGTTACTCACAGCACGGACCAATCAGCCGATGCGCAGACAGGAAGTTCCCGCACGTCATCCATGGGTTAAAAAGCGCAGCGCGAAAAGACTCTTTCTCTTTTTCCATGGGTTTGCAGCCCGTCAGGAGAGGCCCCTTTCACGTGAAATATCAGAAGAAAGCTGACTGGAAGTAGCTTTCGTTTTCCTTCATCGAAAGTCACGGATCGCAGTGTTCCATCGTGCATAGCAACCGCGCTGACTGGGAGATAGAAAGCCTTTGAAGCTGACCGCGGAGTTTCATTCTCCCCTTTCTTGGACGAATCGGCTGAGAGGACGCTCTTTTGCCGACCACCTCCTAAGATCACCTCCTGAAATCCCTCCTTTCCAACTCGTGAGCAGATCAACCCCTCTGCTGCGGCCCGAGCTGACTGAACTTTCCCGAGGGGCGGACCGGTGGCAGAGAACCTCTGCCCGACAGAAACCAAGCTGCGGTTGCCGTGGAAACGCCAACCTCCCTCGGACGACGCATCTCACAGTAAAATCAATTTACTTTCCTTTTGATGCATCAGGATTGCTGTGCTCAGGCGAGAGAAAGGCAGTTTAGGGTTTTGAATTAATGCTGATGTTCTTTTTTTTTTATCTGTGCTGATTA